GCCCCAGAGTTACAGAAGAGTGAGAAGGCCTGAGCTACTCTCGGGAGGGGTGACTTAGGATAGAAGGAGGTCTGCTAGCTGGGCCTCAAGAAGGCTTGCTCCTGTGGGACAAGCCCCACGCAGCAGGGTGTCCACCACACAGCTCTGCCTCTCAGTTCCCCTCCCCTCCCCCAAACAGCCTGTAGCCTACTTCCTCTTGAATCTCCTCAAAGCCCTGCTTTTGTTGCAGTCATATCCTTCTTAGATCTGACAAGAATTTCCCACTCTACCTGGTCCCAGGATTGGGATTCCAGGCCCTCTTCACGGTAGCCCCAACAAGCCTTTAATGACGTCTCTGCTATAGGGTCACCAGAACCGAGCCCTGGACCTCAGTGTCTCCTCAACCAGCTCTCACTGCAGCTTCTGCACTTTTGCTCAGAACACCTTCTGCCTGGGTCACTTACGCCTTGTCTGTGTAATAGCCAAGTTTCTGGGCATTCTATCTGGAGTGTAGTCATCACTTACGATGTGGTGGGAATCACGTGAGGCAGGAAAGATTGGTGGTTATAGACCCAGGCTCCATGGCCAAACACCCTGGGTCTAATCCTAGCTTTGCCCCTATATAGCTGGGAAAGCTGGTTACTTGACTTTCGTGTCTCAATTTCCTCTCCTGTGAAAAAATTAGAGTACCCCTCTCTTGAGGCTGTTGTGCAGATTAAGAAAGTTAATCCATAAAATGAGCTTAGAAAAGTGCATGGCCCATGGATCCCATGATACCAGCGTTAGCTGGTATTATTGTGCCAATGGCCTAACTGACTCCTTGCTATAATTCTGGGGAAGCTTCTATCACAATCTCCGCTTTACAGATGGCAAGGTGAGGCCTAGAGAGTTTGAATGTCTTGCCTGCGGTCCTATCAAGTCCTATGCTGCAGGAGCTCTTCCTCTTGGACCCACGACTAACCCTCAGGCCCCATAAGTCTCAACTCTTTGTGAGGTCCCACAGTCTGCCAGGCTCGAGGCTTCCATCCATCTACTCTTTCAGGAGGCTGTCAGGCACCTTTCTGCATCTCGTCAAAGCTGGAGGCCACTGGCTACTGCTGAGCACACTGGCACAAATGAGGACTTGAGCTGGCTGTCCCTGACCTCTCACCAGCTTCCTGGGGACAAAGGCTGTGGGTCTGTTCCCCTTCTCTGTTCTTGGTGGAGAAGCACTTCCGACCCACGGTTAACTCTGCTGGTGATGTGGCCAAGATAGTAACCCCAGCGCATGCCCAGTGGGAGTGGAGGAGGAGGAGGAGCCTCAAGGGAAGTGAAGTATGGGGCATGGCAAGCAGGCAGGGCCTGTGTGCTGGGGCACCAGGCCAGCCGGAAGTGTGCGCCTGGGCCCAGTGACCCTGGGATAGAGGACATTCAGAAACTGACCAGCAGGGTAGCCTTGGCTAGTCATTCAACTTCTCCGGCACTGATTTTCTCATCTGCACAATGGGAGTAAAGTCCAGTTCCCAGGAATATGATGAGATAAAATCATACATAGTATGTAATAATAATATGAATTTATACGAATATGAGTAATAATGTGAAATTGCCAAATTGATGTAGATAGGAATTCTGGGCAATATAGACTTGTCTCTTTATAGTTTCTGATCCCTTTTAAAAATGTCATTCTTTGCCTTCCCTTATTTAAAGCTGTTTTTTTAAATTGTATGATCCATTTTTTATTATAATTTTTTTTACTATGTTATGGTAGTCACCATACAGCCCAGTGATGGGTATTAAGGAGGGCACGTATTGCATGGAGCACTGGGTGTTATATGCAAACAATGAATCATGGAACACTACATCAAAAACTAATGATGTACTGTATGGTGACTAAAGCTTTTTTTTTTTTTTTAGCAGCTCTTTCATGTTTTGACTGAGCTACAGAGATTAAGGGAACTGTGTTTGAGCCACAAACTGATCAGTGTGATGAGGGGCTGCCAAGGATCCAGGCAGATATGGGGAGTGTTCCTTTTAGCTGGGCCCCAGGGTAGGAAACAGGAAAGATTGATGAAGTGAATCTGCTGGGGCAAAGGACAGAGCAAGGGCCAGTTTCTCTCTGTCTCAGGGTGGAGGATACAGTGGATTAGCTCTCCCAAACCTCGTCCATCCCCACTTCCTTCCTCCTTCCCTTCTTCCAGGGTGCCTCCCCGCACTGCAGAGGCAGGAAGGCTGAAATTCCATTTTCCAGGACCCCTTATTCTCAGGGTTCCGGATGCCAATTAAGATGACCTCCTTAGAAACAGGTGTGTGAGCATGGCCATCAGGCAGAGCTCATGTCCCTGTCCTTTTATTTATTTTCTGTGGACAAGCCACGGGGTGGGGACTTGGCATTTCTCTGCAGCAGTGTCCCCGGGGCCCCCGCAGCACTGGTCCCTGCTTCCTAGCCTGCAGCGTTGGCGGTGTGTTCTCCAACTGAGGCCCTCTGGCTCCACCAGCCCTCCCAGTGATTGCGTTAAGCGCCTAAGTCCCCGAATTAAATCATTTAGCATCCGCTTGGAATACCTAGAAGAGTTTCTGATGCTGCTCCGAATCTTGCCTGGGGTGAATGGTCTGAGGTCTTTGATGCTCCAGGCACCAGCGATGACACAGGCCTCTAATAGGACAGCTCCATTTTTGAAAATGACACTCAGAAGCAATGATGAAGGGACAAGGATCTGGAAGGGCCTTAAGTCCCGGGTGACCATGAGGAGCAGAGATGCACCGCTGACCTGCACCTTTCACACTGCCAGAGGAGAGAAAAGTGAACTTTGTTTGTTCACTAGGCCATTGCATCTTCGAGGTAGCGGCACCAAGTCACCATCGGGTGTAACATCTTAGCTCAGATTGGTTCCTGTGATTGCTCTCCCTCAGGACATAGGGCTCAATATAGGAAGCCAACAGACAAGGTGCCAGAAAGGGACAGTTGGAGTTGATGGAGGGGAGCAAGTATGAAGGAATAGCTTCTGCGGTTCTCATACTGGATTCCTGCTACACACCAATTTGTCCATTCAAGGGTTTAGAATAAAACAGAAAATGTCAATAATGTCCTTTTTGATGCTCAAGCAAAATTAAGTAAATGGGTAAATGATCTCCATTTTAAGCTTTATTTCCACACATTTGGCTCTTTTGGTTCTGTTTGCTGGCAGACAACACCAAATAAACTTAGAGCAAACAAAATTATTTTCCTTCTTAAATATATATATATATATATAAATACATATGTGTAAGTATATTTATATATGACCCATGCTTATTGTGAAAAATGCAAGACATATAGAAGATATGAGGCACAGATCTTACCTCATTCCCAGGCCCACTGCTGGGGGAACCCCAGTTAAACATTTGATGCACCCTCTTCTCTTCCCTTGCCCTTCCTTTGTAGGCAATGTCATGGTGGAAGCTGAAGACAAGATGGGGCTGAGGAGGTGGCCGATGTGGCTACGAAACTGGCTATGGAGTTAAGTGAATAAATAAGTAAATACATTGAGGATAACGGGAGTCAGGTTTCTCACTGTTGGAGAAGGGAGTTACAAATTAAGGAGAAACATGAGAAATCTTAGCTATTCGATTGGAATGGGAGGTATTAGTGTGAATTCATGCTTTTTAAATCTCTATTTACACAGAAATATGTATATAACTATATATATAGTTGTATGTGTGTGTGTATGCTTGTGTGTGTACATATGTATATTTCCTATCTGCTAAAAGGATTTAGAAGGATTGCATCCCAAAAAGAATGAATAATCAAGCATCCAAATCTTTGTTTCTAAATTTCATTTTGCACTAAAAGAAGTGAGTGATTCCATGGCTGGGCTGGGAAAATCCAAGATGAGCCTTTGTTGCACAACTAAGAAAGCATGCAGAGAGTGATGGGGTCATGTCAAAAGAACAGAGAAGCCAGCATGAAGGGGCTCCTACAGGCCAAATCTGGGGCCATTTAAGTATTGAAATAGTGATATGAATAAATTACATCTTATTAAATAAAATAGAAAGTCATGAGTTCATGCTAAATACAAAATGAATAAATAAATGGGGGAGAAGGAAAAGCTCTTCTCCACAGTAGGATGTCAACCACTTGGCCACAAAATGGTGGTTAATTCAGGCAGGAGTCAGCAGTGGATGCTAAGGATATTGGTGATTTCCTCACAAAATATTTATCAATCAAAAGGAAAAATTAGTCCATTTATGGTGAAGGAATCTGGCAGATACCACCTTGACTGGGTGATCAAGGTTAACTTTACTAGTGGTGGGACAGGTCAGCATCATGTATATCCTGAAGAGATGTATGGAGACGGCCCAACATCTTTTCTGTGGAGTCCCTTCCAAGAAGGGATGGCTTAGGTCTGGACATGAGGGAATATTAGGCAGACTCCAGTTGAGGGACAGCCTTCAGAGTGAAAGACTTCTCCTCTTTGAAACTGTCAAGATTATGAAGACCGGGCAAGACTTAGGAAATGCTTTAGAAAAAGAATAATGAAAACGGGAATATTCATAGAGACAGAGGGCAATGGAGTAAATGTGAAAAAAGTTAACAAGTGGAGAATCTAGGTGAAGGGGCTGTAGGACCTCTTACTGTTCTTGCAACTTTTATTTATTTCCAAATGAACTTTTAAAAGTTTTGTGTGTAGCCATCAAGTTTTTCTGGTAAATGTATACATGTGCATACATATATTTGCATACATGTGTATACATGTATCCAGAAGCGCAGGCCCCAACCTGGATGGATCAAATTAGAATTTGGGGGATTGGTACCCAGGCAGGCGGATTAAGAAAAACCCAACTCCCCAGGTGATTCCAGTGTGCAGCCAAATTTGAGAACCGGTTGCTGTCTGTAATCCCGTGTTCACCAAAATCACCTGCGGAGCTGCTGAAACCCAGATCCCCAAGGGCCAGTCTTCCCAGGGGCGCGACCCGACTGGCATGAGGCGGGGCAGGAGAACGGCGACAGGTGGTCCAGGCCCCGCCCCCGTGCCTCGTGAGGCCCCAGGTGCGGGCGATGAAAGGCCGCGCGGCCCCCTGCCCTTCCGCTCTCCGCCATGGACGCAGCGCCCGCGCCCGCTCTCCTGGGCGTCCCGCCGGCTGAGGTGCTGGAGGACGTGTTGCGGGAGCAGTTCGGGCCGCTGCCCCAGCTGGCCGCCATCTGCCGGCTCAAGCGGCTGCCCTCCGGAGGCTACTCCTCGACCGAGGACCTCCAGTTGGTGCTGGAGCGGCGGCGCGTGGCCAACGCCAAGGAGCGCGAGCGGGTGAGCGCCCTGCCCCGCGCGGGGCCCCAAGGCCACCCGGGCTCGGCTGCTCCCCACCAAACACCTGGCGAGCAGCCGGTGCACCCACTCCCCGCCCACCCGCGGGGCTCGGAGGCGACTCGAGCCTCCTGCGGCCCGGCTCGGGTCTCCAGCTTGCGAGAATGGTAGCGGCCTTGTTACCCTCCTCCCTCGTCCCGCTGCTCGTTCTTCGATCCTGGGATGGCCTCCTCACCTGCTAGCCACCTGCCACGGGGTCTGGGGGTGGGATGAGGGCACGCGAGGCCCGTGACAACGCCAAAAATGTCTCCCCTCGGCAGGTGCTTTCAAAAAGATCAGCGCGCGGGAGTTGCTCCTCAGTCTCGCAGCCGCCCGCGCTGGGTGAGCGCTTGGGGCGCAAAGGGCTCCCACGGCCCCTTTCCCTTCCCTCTGCATCTCTGCCTGGAAGCAAGTATGGGGTGAGGGGGCCCAGTGGAAGTTATTCTTTTCTCTTTTTTAGAGGAAGGAAACACGGTGCCCCGGTGTGCCCCGGACTTCCACTCCAGCCCGTGGCTCATTTCCCAGTCAGGCCGGGACGTGGTGAATCACGACGCCCAATGCTCCTGTGGACCATAGTCCGAGCGACATCTACTGGTGGCTTTTAGTGTTTCTAACTGAACCGGGGCCCTCAGTGTGTCCAGTCTGGTCTCCCTTCTGCTCTTTGCAAACCTGGGGTTTGGCGGCAGCCCAGGCGGTCCTAGAGAGGAAGCCGGCGGGGGTGGGGGTGGGGTGGGGGGACGGAGGGCGAGGCTTCAACCTGGGGACTTGACGGGGAGGTTCTGCTGGGGACGTGCCTGCATGCCTGGGCCCTTTGGAAGTGTAGCCCCGGTGAATCAGCTAGGAGCTTTGGGAAAGGGCAGGAGGAGAAAGGACCAAGTGAGAGGAGAAGACCAGGGGAAGTTGGAGAAACTGCAAGAGTGGGAAAGCATGGGTTTACCAGGCATTAGACCCCTTGTGAAAATGACCCTGTGATCTGATGGGATGATGTGGCCTCAAACAAGATTCTGATCCAGTAGTTTGCCTTTTCCATGGGCCTTTCCATCAGGAAGCAATCACTTTCTGCAGAGAATTCTTCTTGGTTTTATCCTCTATTTTAAAGCTAATGGCTTTCATTCTTCCTTACAAGGATAAAATCAATACACCTGAAAAATAGAGAAATGACTAGGGAACAGAAACACCCATAACACAGATATAACTACCATGAACTAACATTCTTGTATATATCCTCCCAGTCTTTTTTTCTAGTTATGTGTGTGCACATACATAATTATAAAATTGTGAGATGGTACAGTTTTCTATTTTTTTCCACTTTATCGAAAGCGTTTCCTCATTCTTTTTAAAAAATTCAGTTAACATAGTGTATTATTAGTTTCAGAGGTAGAGTGATTCATCAGTCTTATATAACACCCAGTGCTCATTACATCCGGTGCCCTCCTTAATGTCCATCACCCAATTACCACATCCCCCCACCCCCCTGTGCCCCAGCAACCCTCAGTTTGTTTCCTATGATTAAGAGCCTCTTATGGTTTGTCTCCCTCTCTGCCCTCTCTGATACTGTCTTGTTTTATTTTTCCCTCCCTTCCCCTATGTTTCTTAAATTTCACATATGAGTGAAATCATAGGATAATTCTTTCTCTGATTGACTTATTTCACTTAGCATAATACCCTCTAGTTCCACCCACGTCGTTGCAAATGGCAAGATTTCATTTTTTGATGGCGGAGTAATATTCCATTGTATATATATTACCATAGCGTCTTTATCCATTCATCTGTTGATGGACATCCGGGCTCTTTCCATAGTTTGGCTACTGTGGAAATTGCTGCTATAAATATTGGGGTGCAGGTGCCCCGTCAGATCACTACATTTGTGTCTTCGGGGTAAATACCTAGTGGTGCAATTGCTGGGTTGTAGGGTAGCTCTATTTTCACTTTTTTGAGGAATCTCCATATTGTTTTCCAGAGTGGCTGCACCAGTTTGCATTCCCACCAACAGTGTAACAGGGTTCCCCTTTCTCAGCATCATCACCAACATCTGTTGTTTCCTGACTTGTTAATTTTAGCCACTATGACCGGTGTAAGGTGATGTCTCATTGTGGTTTTTATTTGACATTTCCTCATTCTTAAGCATTCTTTCAAAGAACAGCTTTTTACTGCATACTCTGTCATATAAATGGACCAGCCTTTATGCTTTTCCCAGCTTTTTACTGGTCTTTATGTGCATGTCTGATAATTGCTCTCAAATAAAATGCTAGAAATGGAATTACTGAGACATAGGATGTCTCACAACTTTTGATGCCAGTTGCCCAACTGCTTTCTAGAGAAGTTTACTAATTTTAATCCCTTATGGGATATAAGACTGTTTTCTTTGTTTATCTCCAATGCTGGGTATGACTAACAAAGCAACAATATTACCAGCTTGGCACATGAAAAATAATATCTAATTTCTATTTTGTTTTGTAGTTCTTTTATCAAAGTTCCACATTTTCACACCTTTATTGGTCTTTGTATTGTGCTGAAATGGGATGACTATGTCCATTGTTCACTTTGATCTGGAGTGGGAGAGGGATCTCAATAAATATGAGTACAATATGAGAATATTGGCTTTATGGTGTAGTAGAAGCCAGTTTTTCCAAGGCCAGTTCCCTTTGGGGGATGGTCCTCAACGTTCCAGGCCTCAGAACTGAAGGATTAGACCCTGGAAAATTATAAACATGTGGCTAAATAGCCTTATTCTGCCTTTCAAACCTTGCCAACATGCAGACTCTCTAGACTCTTAACACTTGACTCGATTTGGCTGGGAAAGAGGTTAAAGAGTTGATGGCTCAGTGCTTGAGTAGATAAGTATTTGCACATTTTGTTCATTATCAGTACCACTTAGGACTTTCTATGTGCCAGGTCAGGAAGAAGTGTTTTATGTGTAATTGTGTTGATCACCACAAAACTTACAAGGTGGGTATTTCCCACTTTACAGATAAACAACCATAGCTTGGTAATATGAAGTATCCTACACATTCTTGTAAGCTAGTACATGGTGGAGCTGGGTTTTAAATCCTGATGTTTTGATTTAGAGTTTTAGCCACTACCCCACTGCCTGAACATTACAGTGGGTATGCTATAAGAGGAAGAGGAGGGGGTTCAGCAAGAACACAAACCCCCTCTCTGCCAGCCCATTCACCCACAGTGCTAAGTTTATGCCACTCCTTCCTTGACTGCCAGGAACCGCGCTGCTGGGGGAGCGGTGACTCTGGCCTGTGCCTGCTTCGGTTCACCACCCAGACAAGAGCCATGCAAACAAGCCCTCACAACCCTCTTCTGTGGTTTGGGGGCAGATATCTGTACAAATTAGCCTCTCTGTATGTCACTGTGCTTTTTTTGTTTTCCAGATAAAAAATCTCAATCGTGGTTTTGCTAAACTGAAGGCACTTGTGCCATTTCTTCCCCAAAGCAGGAAGCCTAGCAAAGTTGATATCCTTAAAGGTGCAACAGAATACATACAAGTTCTCAGTGATGTTTTGGAAGGAGCCAAAGACTCTGAGGTAAAGGCTTAAGAATTAAGAGCAATATCCACCATTTACTGAGCCCTTTCCATGTGCCAGGCAATTTATAATGTTCCAGTTGTTTGTAACAATCCTGTGAGTTATTTATGATCCATGTTTTATAGAGGAGGAAACCAAAATATGGCTAAAGGCCACATAGCTAAGAGATGTCAGGACTGGGGTTTGAATCCAGATCTGTGTAAGTTTTGGAGCCAAGTTCCTGATTATCTATATACTTACCTCCTGTCACATCCAGGCATCTAGTTCCTAACTGCTGAACCTTTAATAGAACCTTGATTGCTAGGGCATGAGATAAACCCATTCTGTACTGGTGGTTTTCCATCGCACAGGACCCAGAAAGGAAGAGGCATTTCCCTTGGAGAGGCCCTCCCTGCGGGACAACCCTGGTGGAATGTTCAGTAGTAGTTGTGATGCCAGTCTCATGGGGTTTGCAACCTTTTGGTGGGATGAAATAATTGAACTTGCTTTGCAAACCATGAAGCACATACTTGTCACCACCATTATCAGGGTGCATAGCTCAGAAGTGTCCATTAGGCAGTGGAAGCTGTGGGCTAGTTATATGGGCTGGTTGCATGGTCAGGCAAGCCTTGAAGACCTGTTAAGTGGATTAGTCATCAGAGGAGGTAAGGTATGAGGAGAGAAAGGCCTTAGAAATGAGCCCGAAGTGACACCATTGACCTGAGGGAAGAGGAGCCATCAGAGAGGAGAAGGTAGCAGGAAGGTGGAGAAGAAAGATAGGGCCTAAGGTCAGGCAAGGGAGAATCTTGGGAATCTGAGGGTAGGAAGTAGTGCAAGAAGCTACAGAGAGGCCCAGCATGTGAGATGTGGGCTAGGAGAGGGCTGGAAGTCCAGGTTGAGTGTATGTAAGTGTCTGAAGTCCAGGCAGAGCACAATAGCAAACTTCAAGTCCATTAAACCTGGAAATCTGAGACCGGAAAGAAGGATCAAAAGGATGGAAGAAGTGGTTAGATCAGTGAAAGTCTTTTCTATGTAGCGATGTGATTGTGTTTAGGGACAGAAGAGAAGGACATATACTAGGGAATAGAGAAACACAATCATTCTAGAAACTTAGGGCAGGAACGGCCAGGTATATAATGGTACTTTCAATTTTTTTTTTCCTTGTCCACTAGTCCTACTAGGGTGACTTCAGAGAGGATACATTCTGCAACAGTGGGAATGGATTATCCTGTTAGCCAATTGGATGCTTGGGTTGTGGCATGACCATAGTGTTTGCACATGAGCAGGTGGCTGCCTTAGTTTTTCCTTGCATGTGTAACAGAAGTGCTTTGTTTTGTGCTGCATTTATTATAAACTACAGGATCTGCTCCATGGGATAATCTTTTTAATGCAGTTGCCAATTGCATAATATTTTAAGGTTCTAGAAAAAACAAATACAGTCTATTGAGTAATGATTTTCTTTTCATCCATAACGTAAGATTGCCCTTATCACTTAAATGAAACTACATTGGTTAAAATTTTGAAATATATTAAATATTCAGTCTGACTGTTCTATTATACTGTTTGACAACTAAATATGGTTTCTAGAGACAAAATCCGGATCACCAGAACTATAGGAACAATCCTTCTGAACCATCTATGTCCTTGGCTAGAGATCTATCCAGAAACATCAGCCAGCATGCCTGCTGTACTGTGGGCTTGAAGAACGAGGAGGAAAGGCCCTGGGCAGATGGTGGCAGTGGTGAGTCAGCATACACTTGTCGCCAGAGCGTGATGTCTACGACTGGAGTTATCTCCCCAACCAGGAGTCTGGTAAAGTGTTTCTTCTTAAATAGCCACATGGGGGTCAAAAAACTCAAAATATTTTCCTTGAGGTGTGTGGAATTTTCCAGGCTAAAAGATGATTGAAATAAGATCATTTTGTGAAAGTACCTAGGTGGGAAAGTGGAGTTTGCTAGTTTGGAAAATCTGTTATTATGTTTCCAAATCAATTGGTAAGCAACTCAAGGAGAAGGCAACCCCTTTAGAATTATCCAGTACAGACCTAAGTTTACTTTTTGATGACCCTAATTAATTCATCAAAAGTTTTTCTGACTCTGAGGTCTCCAGAAAAAGAAGTAGCTTGCCATATATAAAGTTCCATGGTGACACCACATACCCATGAACATGTGTGCACATGCATGCACACATATTTTTAGTTGGCCTTGTGGGAGAGCAGCATTTTCTTTTTTTTTTAAATTTAAATTCAATTAATTAATAGTGTATTATTAGTTTCAGAGGTGGGGTTCAGTGATTCATCAGTTGCATACAACACCCAGTGTTCATTACATCCTGTGCCCTCCTTAATGCCCGTCATCCTGTTACCCCATCCCCCCCATCCCTCTCCCCTCCAGCAACCTTCAGTTGTTTCCTATAGGAAGGCAGCATTTTCTAAGTAAAAACAAGAGTTTATTATAATAGCTCTTATTACTTTGCCAAACTAATGAAGCTGCTAGATAGAAGTAGCAGCCTGCTTCTCCAAGTCCACAAAGTAGACTTTTTGCCCTTGCTGTGTCTCATTGTCACTCTGATGACACCCCGTGGTCCATCCTACAGCATGACTGCTATAGAAACAAAGGCTTGTAGGAACTGGAACCAAGCATACTGTAACAAGCAAGTTGCTTAGTGTGAGGTAAGGGACAGTGGGAGCTGTGGAGTCACAAATGATGGTTGGTGATGGGAGGCAGTTTAGAATAGCAGTTGAGCGCAGGTTCTAGAGACCAAACACTGGGGTTCAAACACTGGTTTTACCCCTTGCTAGTTGTGTAACCTTGGGTGAGCTGCTGAATCTCTCTAATCCCCAGTTTTCCCATCTATGGAATAGGAATGATAATTGTACCTACCTTGTACATTAGGTAATTGTGAGGCTCAAATGGGATCATGTCAGTGAGGTGCCTAGTGTCTAGTGCAGTGTTTGGCATGTCAGTGTTCACTTGGACATACATTATTAAATCTGCTTGACTCATCACGAGCAATCAGTATTGATTGGTGAGCAATCAACAATCAGCCACAGGCATCCTAGCTCTGTTTGTAGCAAGTGTTCTGAGTTTATTGACTTGGCCCTTAATAATGCTCTATTCTGGTTTGAGGTCTTAACAGGCTTCCTCCTGACTGGCTGGCCATGGCTGCCATTGCTGACTTGATTACTGTTTTCTAAGGATTCTACTTTTGTACATGCTCGGTTTTAGATTTTCATATTCTGGCCACTTGATCTATAAACCAAACCTTCCCTTGCCAGTTAACCCTTAGGAGAAATAATTCCCATGGCTACTACATGAGCTGACAGGGAATGGCTGAGAACAAAAGTAAGGAGGAAGATATGACCTGAGCTGAACCTTGAACCTGTTCTCTGTTAATAGTAGTAATGTTAGTTGTAATATGTTCTGTGTATTAAGGCAAGACTCTTACTTGCATTTAATCCTGACTGATCCTTAGCAGGAAGGTATTACCATGTCATTCTTGTGGTGAGCTGCCTGACTGCACCTTCCTGCCAGTCCTTTTGGGCCTAGGCTGGGCCTGGAATCTGAATGGAAAACAGAGCAGGCTTATGCTTGGCAACACCAGCAGCAAGGATGTACAGGATGTCCTTGTCTTCCAAGGATTATTGATTCTGGAAATAGGCCATTTATAGTAAGTAGATTTTAAGTGGGGACTAACATTTTCTAGTAAGACACAGAAAAGTTCTAACTGGAACTTTCTTTAAAAAAAGGGAGACCTATTTCAGTCTTTTAGCTAATGCAGTTTAAATTGCTAGTTGAAAGACTGTGCTAATTCTTAGAATGAACAAAGAATCATGTTTCTGAGATTTTTTAGATATGCATGTACCTTCTGCCAAGTGTGATTTTTCCAGGCCTGAATATAAAGAGTGCCATTTTTTACAGAAATGTTCTAGGATTTCATCAGTTTTGTGAAGGATTTCTCATTCTTTGACATCTAAATCATTTATTGTTAACATAAAGGCATTTATTCTGAAACAACTTCTAGAAGGGCTGCAGATAGAGCACAAATAACTTTTTCCCTGACCCATTTGAGAGTAAGTTGCCAGCTTAATGTCCCATCACCCCAAATTAGTGTGCATTTCCTATAAATGGACATTCTCTTGTAGACCACAGTGTAGCTGTGAAATCAGGAAGTTGATGTTGTGGCATTACTGCCGCAAAATCCTCAGACTCCATTCGGGTTTTCACCAACAGTCTGAATGTCCTTTCTAGCAGAAGGACCAGCTGAGAATCATGAGTTGTATTTAGTTGTCATATCTCTTTAGCTTCCAGCTATCTGGAATATTCTGTTGGTCTTTGCATGACTTTTATTATGACCTTGACACGTATGAAGATTGTAGGCCAGTTGTTTTGTAGAATGTTTGATTTGTGTTTGTCTATTTCCTCCTGATTAGATTCAGACCCAAATCTTTGGCGGGAATATCACAGAAATGATGTTATTTTCTACTCATTGCATCCTATTGGATGGGGTACATTTTGATTTGTTCTGTTACTAAAGATGTTCACTTCAATCATTTGCTTAATGTGGTGACTGTCAAGCCTCTCTACTTTAATTAGCTTTTTCCCTTTGTAATCTGTGTTTTGTGTGGAAATGCTTTGAAGCTATCTATATATCCTATTCTTCATCAAACATTCTATATTTGTGAAACTTTTATTTTGGGGCACCTGGGTGGCTCAGTCGGTGAAACATCTGTCTTCGGCTCAGGTCATGATCGCAGGGTACTGGGTTCGAGTCCTGCATCGGGCTCCCTGCTCAGCGGGGAGTCTGCTCCCTCTCCCCCTCTTCCCCACTCGTGCTCTCTCTCAAATAAATAAAAATCTTAAAAAAAGAAACTTTTTATTTTGAAATATAGATTCACAGGACGTTACAAAGATAGTACAGAGAAGTCCCATGTATCCTTAACTTGGTTTCCCTTAATGGCTACATCTTCTGTAACTATAGTACAATATCAAAACGAGAAAATTGAAATTGGTACTATGTGTGTATAGTTTCCTGTCATTTTATCACATGTGTAGATTTGTGGAATCACCACTCCTGGCAAGATCCAGCACTGTTCTACCCTCATAAATCTCTCCTGCCTGCTACCCACTCACTGCCCCCACATTTCTACTCTCCCTATCCCCCTGGCAACCACTAATCTGTTCTCCATCTCTATCCTTTGGGGAAAGTCCTATACAATATGGAATCATGCAGTATGTGTTCTTTAGAGTCTGGCCTTCTTACTTAGCACAGTGCCCTTTAAATCATCCCAGTGGTTGTATTGAAAGTCTGTTCCTCCTTTTCATTGCTGAATATTAGTCAATGGGATGGATATGCCACAGTTTAACCATTTACTTATTGTAGAACTTTTTTTTTTTTAAGATTTTATTTATTTATTTGACAGAGAAAGACACAGCGAGAGAGGGAACACAAACGGGGAGTGGGAGAGGGAGAAGCAGACTCCCCGCCGAGCAGGGAGCCCAATGTGGGACTCGATCCCGGGACTCCAGGATCATGACCTGAGCCGAAGGCAGTCGCTTAACCAACTGAGCCACCCAGGCGCCCTGTAGAACTTTTTTTTAAGAGAAGGAGGGAGAGGGAAAAAGAGAGAGGCAGAGGGAAAGAGAGAACCCCAAGCAGGCTCCACGCCCAACACGGAGCTGATGCAGGGCTCGACGTCACAGCCCTGAGATCATGATCTGAAACGAAATCAAGAGTTGGATGCTTGGGGCGCCTGGGTGGCTCAGTCGTTAAGTGTCTGCCTTCGGCTCAGGTCATGATCCCAGGGTACTGGGATTGAGCCCTGCATCCAGCTCCCTGCTCTGCAGGAAGCCTGCTTCTCCTTCTCCCACTCCCCTGCTTATGTTCCCTCTCTCGCTGTGTCTCTCTCTGTCAAATAAATAAATAAAATCTTAAAAAAAAAATGAGTTGGATGCTTAACTGACTGAACCACCCGGGCACCCCATTTTTTTATTGTAGAACATTTTGGTTATTTCTATATTCATTTATATTTTTTATATTATAGACACATAGTTTTCTATTTAATTCATTAGATTACCATCATAATATCATAGTATTTCATGATTTATTTTGTTATTCAGATTGTCCTCATTGTGGCCAGTGAAAGCCCCTTCAAATGGGCTATCTTCCTGCTTGACGTGTCACTATCATTTTTTGATCACTTCCTTTCTGGTAGATGTTCTGAGCTTGAGCATCATGTACTTTCCCACCCTGAGCCTTGGAATGAATCTTTCATCAAGGACACTGCATGTGTAACTCACTTCTTTCTGTGCTGTCTCCCTCATGGTGGCTCTTCTCTTCACCCCTTTTGGACTTTAGCACCTGTATTAGTTTGCTAGGGCTGCAATAACAAAATACACAGATTAAGTGGTTTAAACAACAGAAATTTGTTTCTTGCAGTTCTGGGGGTTGGAAATCTAAGACCAGGACGTTGGCAAATTTGGTTTCTTCTGAGGCCTGTCTCCTTGGCTTGCAAATGATCTTTCCTCTGCGTGTATGTGCCCCAATTTTCTCTAATAAGGATACCAGTCATATTGGATTGGTGCCTACCCTTCATTATATTTTATTTTTCTTAATTTAAATTTTAGTTAACATATAGTGCAATATTGGTTTCTGGAGTAGAATTCAGGGATTCATCATTTACATACAACACCCAGTGCTCATCACAACAGGTGGCCTCTTTAATACCCATCACCCATTTAGCCCATCTCCCCCCCCAACTCCCCTACCCTTCATTTTAACTTAATCACACCTTTTAAGGCCCTATCTCCAAATATAGTTACATTCTGAGGTATGGGGGTTAGGACTTCAACATATGAATTGTGAGGGGACATAATTCAGCCCAGAACAGCACCCATGACAAGCTGCCT